TAAGACATATTCTACGTCAAAAAAATTTAGCATGTAAAACATTGCAAATATTAGCAAAAAAAGTATGCTCAATCTTGTGAGTAACAGTGTATAGATATAGTACATATCGACGCCTCCAAACCATACTATGTTGTTGTTGTAGCGGCTACAACAACCCCGCCCAGGTCGGTTGGTATCTCAGTCGTTGTCGTCAAGTTCCACTAACCGCAGCCCTAGGAAGCATGCAGCTTCTGCGGGGTTGGTCCACAGGGACAAGGCCGTTAGGGTTGTCGGGTTTTCCGGGCATGCGAAGAGATGTTTCGAGTGATGTGGGGTCTCTCCGCATGCCGGACACTCATTTGGCACATCCTCATTCAATCTACACAGGTAGAAGTTTAACCTGCTGCAGTAGCCGGAGCGAAGTTGAGCGAGTGTAGTGCGTGTCTCCCGAGGCAGATGAAGCTCTGTCTCGTCAATGTCCGGGGGTGGTATGCCTAGAACGGCATTCACAGGTCTAGAGTCTACATAACTCGAGACTGAGTCCCTGTGAATGCCGTTCAGGGCCTGTCTGTAGGCTGTCGGGTCCAGAGGTTGCTTAATGAACCTCTGGACTTCGTCCGTCAGTTCATATAGATGCCTCCTGACGTGCCTAGGCGAGGGCTCCTCTGCAAGCAGCTGTCTGCTTGGGTGGCCACTTCTGTGGCTCCCGATCAGGAACTGCTTGCAGAGCATGATGTTGTGCTCCTTTACGGGGAGCATTTGCGCCTCGCCGTGAAGATGGTGTTCGGGCGACATCAGCAGGCATCCTGTCGCTGTCCTGAGTGCAGTCTGTAGCTTCGTCCACTGCGTGCTACTAGTCCCGGCGACCACACTGGCGCTGCGTAGTTCAAAACCGGCCGGCCTATTGCCTTGTATGTTGCCAGCAACGTTTCTTTGTCTTTGCCCCAAGTACTGCCGGCTAGCGACTTGAGGACCTTGTTGCGGCTCTGTACTTTATTGACAATAGCGGTTGAGTGCGCAGAGAAGGAGAGCAGGCTGTCGAATGTTACTCCGAGTATTTTGGGGTTATTCACCGTCGGAATTGGTGTGTCATCGACGTGAATCCCCAGCGGTAGCCTGACCTCCTTCGTCCAGGTTGTGAACAGGGTCGCGGAGGATTTCGTAGGGGAGAGGGCTAGACACTTTGCAGTGAAGAAGCGAGAAAGTTCGGAGAGATAGCCGTTTACTTTCGAACACAGGTCATCAATTCCATTCCCAGTCGCCATGATCGAGCAATCGTCGGCATAAGAGACAATCGAGACTCCCTCTGGTGGTTGAGGGAGCTTTGAAATGTAAAAGTTAAACAGTAGCGGGGAAAGGACACCACCCTGAGGAACCCCCTGTTTTATTTTTCGCTGCTTACTCGTTTTGTCTCTAAACATTACCGACGAATGTCGACCACTCAGATAATTTGCCGACCACCGTTTGAGCCTCTGTGGGAGAGAGGAGGCCTCTATATCTTCTAGTAGCGTGGAATGGCAGACGGTGTCAAACGCCTTTGACAAGTCCAACGCTACTAGAATCGTTCTCTCACAGGGACGGTTACGGTTAAGGCCACGAGTTATCTGAGTGTTTATGGCGTTAAGTGCTGTTGTTGTACTGTGCACTTTACGGAAACCATGCTGATGCTTCGCTGGGGTCAGGTGATTTGTGAAGTACGGGAGTAGCAAGGCCTCGAGTGTCTTCGCTACCGGGGAAAGGAGTGTAATCGGACGATACGAATCTCCTTTGTTGGCAGGTTTCCCCGGTTTGAGCAGTGGGACCACTCTCCCCACCTTCCAGATGTCTGGGATGATGAGAGTGGCCATTGACAAATTGAGGACCTCCGTTAGGTACGCTACCCCCGCAGGACCCAAATTTTTCAGCATCAGCATGCATATTCCGTCGGGACCCATGGCTTTGGAGGCTTTCGCCTTCCCGATGGCCACCTGAACTTCACCGCAAGTGAAAGCAAGGGGGGCACAAGTTGTTGGCAGTTTGTGCAGCCTTCTGGTCACTCGACGCTTGGCTTTGTCCACCGGAGGATGCAGTATGAACTGCCGGCTAAAATAGCTCGCGCATCGCTCCGGGTCCGACGAAGCATGGTCGCCGAAGGAAATTTCGACTATGTCGTCGTGCTTCGTCGGATTAGACAATGACCTCACGGTTGACCAAAGCTTGCTCACACCAGAGGTGAAGTTACAAGTCTTCAGATGCTCCTCCCACTTCTTCCGCTTATGTACGTTTACAAGTTGCCGAATCTCCGCGTTGAGATCCCTGATACGGGGATCTCCGGGATCGGCCTGACGAAGGCTATCACGCTCATCGGCTAGAACAGCCGCTTCGGCAGGGAAGTTTGGACGTGGGTCCGATATACATCCTGCCGGTATGAAGCGAGCTGCAGCAGCAGTGATAGCCCTGCGGAACTTACGTTCACCGAGATGGACGTCGGTTGGTGTGGGGAGCGCTGTGAAGGTGTTTTCGGTAAACTCCGCGTAACCTTTCCAATCAGCTTTAGAAAAGTTGATATAGGTCCGGTGTTTGGCGGAGGCAAAGTCGGTTGGTTTATCAATCGAGATGACTATGGGTAGATGGTCTGATGCTAGAGTCAGCATAGGTCGCCACGTTATGCTGTTTATCAGACCAGCGCTGACTATTGTGATGTCTGGCGAGCTACTGCAGTTACCCATAATCCTGGTGGGTGCGTCGTCGTTCATTGTGCAGAATGTCGAATCGTCTATCTGCTCAGCCAAGTCTGTTCCCCTACGATCGTTTGACAGGCTTGAGTGCTAAAGATCGTGGTGCGCATTAAAGTCACCTACTACCATACGGTTTTCACCTCTGAGGAGCGCACCTATATCAGGGTGATATCCTGCCGGGCAGCAGGTGACAGGGGGTATGTATATGTTAAATATTTCGAGCTCGACATCGCCTGACCGGATAGCGATGCCCTGACATTCTAGGGTGGTATCCCTGCGGTCGATGTCTGCTTCGATAAGACGATACTGCACGGTGTGGTGCGTGATGAACGCTAAGCCACCACCATTATCTCGCTCGCGATCTCGACGGTGCACGTTGTACCCGGCGCAATTCAACAAAGTTGAATTGCTGTGCAACTTCGTCTCTTGGACCGCAGCTATCAATATACCATGCCGACACATGAAGACGGTTATCTCCTCAATCTTGCTCTGTAGCCCGTTGCAGTTAAATTGAAGGAGCTTCATGTGGTTCGGGAGACGTGTCGTGATGTGGGGTGTAAGGGATGTGTGTGTTCTTACCGCCGTTGGCTGTGTGCGCTGCTGTGATGGTTGCCGCCCTGTGGTGGTGGCGGGAGGCGTCGCAGTTGAGGTCTGCGACCGAGCAGCGCAACACGGGCCCTCGAAGTTCCCAGTCCAATCTCGCGTGGTACGCAGACCTGAGCATGCCCTAAAGTGGCACCAGCCAAGGCAGGTGTTGCACTTGACTGATGTCACATTACGGAATATCCTGGTCTGACATACCGTGCAGATTGTAGGGGGAACCAGGAGTTGTTGGCGGCGGCGTGTGGGTGGTGGTGCGGTTGTGTGTGTTATGTGGTCTGTCGTGGCTGTGGTATGGTCTGTGGTGTTATTATGTTGTTGTGCTGTGGTGACTGTGTGAGGCTGCTCGGGTGGACTGAGGTTAGCCGTGGAGGCTGCTCTGTTTAAGCAACAGGGGGCCACGTACGACGTGGTCCACTGTCGATGTGTCCGTAGTCCTGAGCAGACTCTAAGGTGACTCCACCCCTCGCAGGCATTACACTTGACAGAGGTGGAGTTGTGGTGTAGTCGTCTCCGGCATACACAGCAGGTGTAGATTTCTGGCCCTGGGTTTGACTCGATGCCAGCCCTGAGTAGAAGAATACGTAGTGAATGTAGCCCTATGGACGAACAACTTCTGAGATACTTCGCCGACCGAAACGGGGTTAGATCGCCGAAACAACAGCCCTTGGTCGGGTAAAACCCGAGTCATTCCGGTACGTAGAACCGGCTGTCGTGGGAATGCCAAACCATACTATGCTTAGGGCCGCTTTCTCAAGTAACCTGTAACTTTAAAGCTCACTTTATGTTTAAAGGTTGCATTAAAATTTATGATTGTGTCTAAAGTAAAGCATTTTATTATCGGGTTAAAATTGGTTTACAACCACGAAATATATATACGTCAAAAAAAACGATAATAGAAATGCTTAACTTTACCCATAGCTTTATTTTTAATCCGACCTTTAAATATAAAGTGTTAAAGTTAAAGGTTACTTCAGAAAACGACCCTAAGTCAGCTTAGACTTAGTCACGACTTAGCATAGTATGATTTGGAGGCGTCGATATGTACGTCTGCTTGTACGAAGAAATGACTTTAACGAACGTTAATAAAGGCCTTTATATAGATGTAGATTTATCTACAATAAAACCCCATATTTGCATTAAAAAAACGAGTTTGTTTAAATTCTTAAACAAAAAATTGTATCCACTGGAAAAAATCTAAACGTCCGAACAACTTCGAACAGTTTTTGGCAGCTACTAAACATCGTTAGGAAGTTTAAGTTCATGCAATTGTTATGGCTGCTTATTATTCTAACAACCATTCATACATCGTTTTTTTGTACCAGTAACAGATTCGCAGAATTTAGCAAAAATCATCAGTCATCTTTGATACGAGTTCCATTTTGGAAACGTCTGAACGGGAACTTTTAATCGCTATTCACTTACCATATAACATTTGTGGAAAATATTTTTATTGTTTTCAGATACGTTTTGATGATGACTACTCATGACATAAATTTTGTGTTCATTCAGAGCCTACTAAAGTTTTTATAATGAAAAAAGTGTCTCCAAACGGAACGTCCGTAACGCAGGAAACGCCCATATGCTAAATAACTTTAACAAAATGCCACATTATCTACCACATTGTGCTACCACTTAGCAAAATTTTCCACAGTAAAATTTTGTTTGTAATTTTTAAATATTACGCCAAAGTTTTATTTGAAATACAACAAATGTGACTTTAACATATTTTTTATTTTTGTTGTTGTTAAAAAATACTTAGTTACATTTTAAAATATTTCGATTTGTTATAAAATCTTTTAAGGCACTTTGATTTTGTGGAAGTGAACGAAAATTCGAAAGTCAAAACAAACCATTCCAATGAAGATTTGCCCAAAAACAAAGTATCCCAAAATAATTTGTAAATCATTCAATATAATTTAAATAAAATTACTCACATTAAATTAGTAAAGGAAATTTCTGAGTGAGCAAAAATTTAGGTGTTAAACTTAAATGAAATTCAATTGTTAATCAAAGTAAAAAAGAGTTGAATTAATTTAGTCGAATACAAAAGAAACTATCTTTCGCTCGGAAATGTGTTGAATAAAATACTGGATTATAACATACATAACTTTTAAGCACATAACTATTGTGCAGATATAAGAAAATAGAATAAAATGTGAGCATGTATAAATATACTAACGACTAGACTTACAATTAAGTTAATGAATACCTTACATAACTTAACGTACTCTTAATTTGATCTATTGGGCGAACATACAAGACTGAACGAATATTTGTGACATTGTTTTTGATCATGAGCTATATTGCAATCATATTTTTTTTTAACTTTTAATTCTATATTTATATGTATAATTCTGCTTATTCCTATGATACAACGCTTTCAATGAATTGATATTTCGAGAAAGTCTTATATATGAGCATTTACGGACATGCACTTATCGGGTAATGTCAGGGCTCTGGTAATAGCAGGTGCTAATGTTGAAATGGCTGCATGCGTGGCCAATCGAATATTGGCACAGGATTTAATGTTGTAGTTGATGTTACACCATCATCGGCACCTTCACCATTCATACAGTCGTGGACCAGCGCTGGCGACTTCAGTGACTGAAATGAACGGTCTCTGGGCCGCATCAGACTAGGCGGATTGTAGAATGGCATTGTTGGAGGAGACTTCGGATACGTTGAATGGACAGCAGCGCATGTAAGCATTGGCGGCTGTGGCGGTCTACAAGAAGGGGGTTTGAAGCATTATAATTTCTTTGTTTATAAATAAAAACTTAAAAATTAATTAAAATTCGGATGGAACATGCATGTGAAACATAAGAGGTGCAGAGATGCTTTAGAATTGAATCGGTTAATTGCAAAAAGGAACAAGTCAGCATTTTTCTGATGTGGCAATTTTGATGCAGTTCAACAGAGCTCCTTTAAACGAACCGAACTAAATCAAAATTGTCATATCGAAAAAATTCTGACTTACATTAAAGCGGCTTTTGAGAAATTTAAATTCAATAAAGATTAAAAATAATTCAAATAATATATTTTAATAAAAAATTATGTCTATTACTAATTTTTTTATATTTAAAATTAATTAGTAGTTCATAAAGGATTTCCCCTTTATGCTTTTCAGCGTGGAACACGTTTTTCCCAGTTCCAATAAAATCTTTCGCCATATGCAGATGAACCATATCATTGATTTGCTGAACGTTTATCTTAATCATACATATACGGTTAAAAATAAATAAATCATATTGCGGTGCGCTGGTTGATGCAGATACATTAGCTAATATAAATACAATTTAAAGTATCTACAGTGGTACGTTTTTAATGCATTTGTGATTTTTTTTTAGAGGAAATATTAACTAATTGCACTAGGATGGTAAACTTTGAGAGAATTAACCGCCAGATGATAACTATGCAATAGAGCTGGAAAAACACAGATGGAAACATCGATGTTTTTATAGGAGCTGCTAACATCGATGTTTATTTCTCAACATCGATGTTTTTGTAAATTGCAAACCTAAATTTATTTGGCTCGTAAAAAGGTAAAGTTAAGCAATTATTCATAAGTACCTCACTTACATCATACAATAATTAAAGCCTTGTNGGGGCAAAACTCATTTATATAAAAGTAATTTTTGATATCGAGTCCTTGCAGAGAAAAAAGCATTAAACATCATTTTTATATTCAAATTAATTACTCATACGTCAGCAAAATCTTAATAATTTTTAAAATACTTAAAACCGTGCCTTATATATACATAAGTAATTTTTGATCTCAAGCCCTTGAAGGGACAAAAGCATTATTCAAGTTAAATATAGAAAAAATAAACGTTATATTTTTATAAGCGTTTTTTATATAATAGAATTTATCCCAAGCGAAAATTTACAAAGTGAAAGGCTAAATAGCCTAATTCTCAAATTGTTTCTTTCAAACTTGGAATGTTTGACAACATCGGTGTTTCTCCAGCTCTACTATGCAATCTCAAAATGAAAAATTTGCTATATGGGCGCGTAAATCTGTGACGGTGACGCATAACTAACTATTGAAGCAAGTAACATACTCACTTAGAGCTACACCTGATTTTTTTCTTTTTCGACTTTATTGAGCTTTACTTGTAGATTAACAGTTACAGCAGATTTTTTATTGTTATTGGCGCTTAGAAAGACAAAATATGTTAGGAAATTAGATTTAATTGGCCAGCCTCCCACCCCCTACTAAAGTATTGTTTTTGGTTTCTCCACATTAACTATTTACTTACTTTTGCTGTGTTATTGTAAAAACAGATTTCGATACTATCCGCTTGCCGGTGCGCCAGGTGCGGCCAATATATTTCATGCGTTGAATGGCGACAACGGCCAAAGCGACAGTCCTACAATATAAATAACGGATACCCATTTAATACCCTAAAAAATCGTATTTAATACTATCCACAACTCACTTGAATAACATCTTGCAGTTGCGCTGCGCTTGCATAATGTGTCCACCATTTAGCGCGGCCAGTGCGCGTTGTTCACTCTCCTGATAGCCTTGCAATGAAATTTTCAAGTAACGTTTCTGGTATACAAGCGCCTTGCGATGTGACTCAACCCGCAAATAGCGACCCAACAGATGATTGCAGCGTTCCTCGAGATCCGCCACATTCGCCGTACCACCTAGCTGTGCTTCGAGCTCTTCACATTTCTTCTGTAGTTGACGTCTCTCCTCAACGAGGAACTGAACAGTCTCGGCCATTTGTCGGTTCTCTTGAGTATTCTCTGCCAACAAGGCGTTAATCTCCTTCATCTTTTGCAGAAACTGTTGTGGCACAGAGGCTTCGGCGGCACTAATATTTGCATTAGCAAGCGCTTCGGCTAGTTTGGCTTCACGCTGCGCCGAACGCTCGACATCGAAGCGTAACTGCGTGATGCTCTTCAGCAGATTATCCCGTTCCGTCTCGGTGGCCAAGAGCAATGACTTAACTTCCTGTATTTCACCAAGCAATTGCGCACTTTCTTTTTGTTGGCGATCGCGTCGCGTAGTACGACGCGTTTCTGCTTCTTGTAAAGTCGCAAGTCTAGCTTCCAAACTCTCAATCTCCTGTGTCTGTAAGATGAGACGCTCCTGCAAGTGCTCGCTCTCTTGTTCAGCCGAATCTTTATCGCGCGCCAACTTTTCCATTTCGCGCTTCAACTTCTCACAGTACTCAACACGTTCCTGCAGCTCGTTTTCGTGGCGTTGACGCTCACGTTCACTGGAACGTTGTGCATCGACACAACGTTCGCGCTCCCGCTCATTTTGTGCTGTTAACATCTTGATTTCACTTCTCAATCGCTCTGCTAATTCTGACTCGAAATCGGTGCCCAGCGAGCGTGGTGATTTGCGCGGTGAATCGCTTGGCGATTTAAGCAGCAATGAATTCCGACGCGACTCAGCACGCTGCATGGCGGTCAACTGTGTGTGCACGCGCTCGCAACGCTCACGTTCGATATCTAACAGCTTGTGAAGCTCGTCTTCTTTTTCCAGCGCAGTTTCGAGTCGCTTGCGCATCGCCTCAATAATCAGGACGTCCTGTTCTTGTATTTCCTGCGAGTGCTGTTTCTCAGTCAGCAACTCTTGGCGCATTTCTTCGTTTTGCTCATGTTCTACGGCTATTTGCGCCTTCAAAACCTCTAACTGGTTTAACAGCTCACGTTCTCCTGTGAAATTCTCATCATCTGTGCCTTGCGCTTCAGTCTTATGGGGTTCTTGCGATGCCTTATCGCGACTCTTGCGGTCTAAATTGTTTTCTTCCTCACTTTCAATAGCGCGCAATATGTTGGAGTCTAGTTGTACTGAATAATTCAGCTCTTTTTCGACTTGTTGTGCAATTTCATCAACCGAATACTGTTTTGAGCTGTTATCGCTGTTAGGTTGCTGGCGTAAGCGTTCCACCTCCTCCTCCAGTGAAGACAGTTTCTGCTGAAGCTCGCTGACATTCTCATCTGCTTGTATCAATTTATTAGTTATCATATGTAAGCGCTGGTCCTTGGCTTTGAGTTGCTCGTTTAGGTTGGAAATGTCTAGCTTGCGCATCTCTAATTCACGCACTGTATTCTTGCACTGCTCATGAATTTCACTTAGCGTTCTCAACTCTTTACGCAAACTCTCGCGCTCGTTCACTTCGTGCTCCGTAGACTGCAGTATTTTCTCTTCCAACTCCGTAATACGTCTTTGTAAGCGCTGGTCATTATCCTTATAGTTAAGCAACTCCTTTTCGCCTTTAGTCAATCGTTCTTGCTGTTCCTTATTTTCTTTGGTCAAACGTTCCTGAGAGCTTAGCAGCAGTTCAATTTCTGCGGTTTTTTCAGCGATTTCTGTTTGATAATTCAAACACTTTTGTTCGTCCTTTTTTAACTCCTCTATTTCAGTTTGCCGTTGCTCCAGCTCATGCTGAAGGCCGCCTAATCGGACTTGTGTAGCAACTAACTCTTCTTCCATGGCTTGCATTTCTTGATCCTTTTCACAAATTGCTTTCTCTTTCTCAGTAGAAACCAATAGCAGCTTTTCTCTTAGCTCAGCAACCTCATGCTCTAGTTTCTGGTACATTTCTTTTTCTTCAACACCCTTTCTCTCTACTGCTGATATTTCCAAGCCAGGCGTTTTCAACTTTGAGTCTTCAGTCAATGCGGAAAAGTTAATTTGACGCGGCACCATGGGTGGCGTAGCCGTTGCCGCCGACTGACCCGTCAATGTAAGGACATTTGGGTCTTGAAAGTAGTGCGGATTCTCAAAAGTATTGGCTGGACGTAACGCAACAAATCCAGACAAATCCTCGCTACGTTTCTGCGTCAAATTCGCTACTGCTTGCTTTGAAGTATTCTGTAAAAAATCAAAGTATTGCAATACGTATGTACATACATTATTTAATGTACAGTTGACTTTTCTTCTTACCACTGTGTGAAGACCGAAACCGCGGTTACCCTCTGGCAACTGANTCGCTACGTTTCTGCGTCAAATTCGCTACTGCTTGCTTTGAAGTATTCTGAAAAAAAAAAACAAAGTATTGCAATACGTATGTACATACATTATTTAATGTACGGTTGACTTTTCTTCTTACCACTGTGTGAATACCGAAACCGCGGTTACCCTCTGGCAACTGTATCGGCGTTGTCTCCTGGACTACAGCTGCGCGCCGCATCACATCGGGCTCATCGAAATCGCTAATGGACACAATGTCACTCAGAGTGCGAGCACTCAACTTTGTGCTCACTTCTTCTTTGCCACTCTTACCGCCAAAGCCGGCGCCCAAACTGGATGCCTGACTCGAGTTGAGTTCCTGTATTTCTTTCTCCTTCGACTCCAATTGTTCTCTCAAATGATCGATCTCCTCATTCTTATCAGCCAACATTGTCTCCATTAAATCAGGCAATGCCAACTTGTTTATCATCTCGTTCTTAATCTTCTCCTTCAGCAGTTGTATGCTTGCATTTTTTTGTTTCAACTCAGCCTCCAAGCGTTCCACAATACTGCGGTCCGGTTGGTGCTCCACTGCCAGCTCTGCTTCAAGGCGGTCTATTGCAACTTTGCTCTTTTCCAGTTGTTGCTTCATTGTAGCGATCTGCTTGTCGCGTACAGAAAGTGTCTCGCGCAGATTTTGGATTTCGGTTTGTAAATCATGAATACGCACATTTAAGTCAGCTGAACCAACCCGCTGTAGCTCCATTGCACGCTTTCTTTGCTCTTCGAGGCGAGATTGCAGTGTAGAGATCCTCTGTTTTTGCTCAGACATACGCTCCTGTAACGAATCACGTTCATGCTGCAGTTCCTAAAGAGAAACACAAAACAGAGAAGGCAAATATTCGGTATTTTAGGATGAATTCAATATACACCTATTTATCCTGATTTAAAATGTCAATAGTATTACAGATATCCACATTGCATTAGTATCTAGAAAGTGTACAAAATTAAAGCTTTAAAATGCTGGTAAGTCGAGGAAAACCAAAGTCGCAATTAACTGTCGCTACTTTATGCCAATATTAATTTAGATTAACGCGTGATTGTAAAAA